GGGGGTATTCTTCTAACAGCTTCAGAGCGTGGTGGTACGCCATCTTCCGTACCACCGGGTCTTTCTCCACTTGGATCCACTTCCGCACGAAGCAGCCGGCCTTCAGCGCCGCGGCTAGTCCGGTCCCGATGCCCCCGAAGAGTTCTAGAATGCAGATGGCACCTTCGAGGCACCAGGTCTTGCTGACTCGGTCCCGCAGGTCGGGTGTCCCTTGCCCCGTTTCCGCCAATTCGATCCTCTTCGTTCCCTCCTCGGCGTATTCCTGCCAGGTCCAGTCGTCCAGCTCCTTTGACAGGTCGGCCTCTTCTGCTCGATAGGCCGCTCGCGGCTCCTGCTTGACGAACCGTACGGGCAGCGTCCCTACGGATCTTTCAGGATCCCAGTACTGTACCCGGTAGAGCATTTTCTCTTGCCAAGTACAAATGGTCGCCCCCACCTTATACAGCAGCTCCATGCCCACTAGGACGTCATAGTCCTTAGACTGCGAGATCCCGCACTTCAATCGAACACAGCATCCCTTGTCCGTGCCGGGCAGCAGCATAACTTCCACGGGCCGCTTGGTGCTGGGCATCCACTTCGGGTCTCCCCCTTCCGCCGTCATGAGCAGGATCCCCCTCTCCACTTGCATCTCGGGGAGGTACAGTCTGAGCTGTTTTGCTCCTTGCCCCTTGCCCAGTATGACATGGTAAGCCCACGTGTCGATTATCCCTTGCCTGACGGGCAGTCCCCCCACCGTCAGGCTCCCCTTTTCGGCTATCAGCACCGACGCCTGGCACACCATGCGTTCATTAGGATGCTGCCGCATGTCGCTGCTAGCCGCTCCTTCCCTCCTCGCGGGCGCCCGTTCTCGCCTAGTAGTGGTACTGGACTCTCCCATTGTATCGGAGCGGGACCTCAGCTCCAAGTCGCTATGCTCCCGCGGATGGGCCATGAAGCCATACTCCCGCACCAGCTCGTCCTCTGGCAGCTCGTCGTCGGCTACTTCCTCTATTGCTAACATGGCTTGGCTCCTTCCTCCTGCCTTCGGCATCCGGTCTAACCGCGTCTGCAGCTTCCGAATCTCCTCTTGTATGTCCTCCCGCGACTGGACTTCTGCTCCCGGCTTCCACTGATAGCATTCGGTCTGGTGGTGCCCCTTCTTCCCGCATTGTTCACACGCGGGTAGGCTCGGGCAGTCTCTTTTCAGATGCCCCGCTTCACCACACGAGTGGCATCTCCGGGGGTCGCCGCGATTAGGGGCGCCTCGTTCGGGGTCTGGGACTGCCGTCGCTGCCCAGCTCGACCGGTCCTTCGGCTTGGAGGGTCCGTCGTCAAGCTCCAACAGCCGTTGAGCGTGCTCCGTCCTCTTCGCCACGCCGTAGACTTCTTTCAGCATCACGTCGGCGCCGATCCCGTACACGGCTGTCTGTACGACCGGCCGCAGCTCATCATCCAGTCCGCGCACAAATTTTTGCACTAGCAGGCGTTCGTCCCGCTTCTCCAGGTCTTCCGCTAGTTCCACCAAGCGGTTATAGTACGACAGTAGAGATTCCTCCTTCCTTCTGCGCAGATCGCGGAACTCTTCCAGACGCGCCTTGGTCTGCCCCACGAACTCCTGCCGCAATAACTGCACGAACCGCTCGGTCGGATCCTTGATTAGCCCGTGAGACAGTTCTTCCAGCACTTCGCTCCGCACCGTACGATAGAAGGTTTCGGCCTCGCCGGCCAGGGTGACGACCATCTTGCGGAAGAACTCGTGCGGGTCGAACCCGTCGCGCTCCCAGCAGTACTGCGCGGTCTCTAACTGCATGAGGTAGTTCTTCAAGGGCGGCCACACTCCAGGGATCCCCGTATACCGGTCTGCCACTTCTATCTTCGGTAGCGCAGCCGCCCTCCATCGCGCGCCAGGTAGGGAGCTCTCCTTCTCGTCTCGCAGCACCTCGAGTGCCGGCTGGCTCGCTATTAATTCCCTCGGCGCTGCCCTGCTCGACCCATCTCCGTGGTCCCGGTGGCTCCAGGTACGCGCCTGGTACTGTTCGTTCTGTCGCATGCCCGGCATGCCCGCAGGGGACTCCCGGTCGTTCCGTGCGTTCCAACGGACCTGTGCCGCTCGGACCCACGTAGTGTCTGGCGGCATCGTTCCTGGGTCGGAGGCCGGAGCTCGCTTGCCTCCTTCTCCTCTTCTAGCGCCGTCTCGCTCCCGCTGGTGGGGCGTCCGGTAATGGGGCGATTCACTCCGATGCGACGTTGGGGTGCTTCGGTCTTCCGACTTAATACTGTTCGCATGCGCTCGCCACCCCGGCGTGGCCTGCGTAGCTTCCATTGTTCGCCTCTGATAGCTAAAACCGGATCTAAGCAGTACGTCGTCATTCATCCTTGCTTGTATGTGGGAAGTTGAACTCAGTGCAACACTCGCATCTCTCAGAGTAGGTCGGCTGGCTCTTGCTTGAACTGGCTTCTCTAGCTAGGGTTTTGGAAAGTTGTTTAGGTAATTGAGAAAACATACAAGCAAGCAGAGGCCGTAAGGCCCTCTGCACCCTGAAGTATCACTACCAAGTGTACCGTTTGCTATTGACGTTTTCTGTTTTCGGCTTTCCCGCTACAGGGGCCGTTGACACATTGGTCTTTCCCGCCTGCCTCGTCGGCTCGCTACAAAGTGCTTCTACACTACTCTGTCACACAATCATATCAAGGTTCCTTATCCTATGTAATACCGATGCCTTTATTAATTGCGTGACATGCGCCCTGCCCGTCTGCGCCAGTTGCGCCCTGCTCGTCGCGCTCGTTGCACCCTGCCCTCCGCGCCCGTTGTGTCCTGCCCGTCCCGCCGTTGCGCCCTGCCCGTCCGTGCCCGTTGTGCCCTGCCCGTCGCGCCCATAGCGCCCTGCCGGTCTGTGCCTGTTGCGCCTCGCTCGTCGCGCCTTGTGCCATGTCCGTCTCGTCGCACCGCCCTTGCCCTTTCCGCCACGCCATGCCCGTCCTGTTACGTCCCTCCTCTCTCGTCACGTACCGCACAGCTCGCCGCGCCCAACTTCGGCCTTCTAGAAGGTTTTCTCCTGTCATTTCTCCACGCTTCCGCTATGGCGACACCTAGAGTCCTCTGCTTTGACGCCGAGGGTAGGCAGCTCGAGTTCTCTGTCTGGCTCCTGCGTGCGCAGCGTCTCCTAGAGAGTCAGGTTCAGGCAGACGAGTCCCTGAGGGTGCACACATCCAGTGACCTCCGTGCGCCCCCCGATACTGATACCTTAAGCGCTAACGCTACCACTGCAGACAGAGATCGTGTTGCACATCAGCGTGCTGCGCCGACGGCCTGGAAGTTGCATGACGCTGCGGTCTGCATCGCCTTTAGCAGCCTCCTTCCTGAGTCTGAGGAGACCCATTTCACCCAGGTTCGCACGGCTAGTAAGTTCCTGACTGCGATCAAGTCCCGCTACGCTACTCCCACTACTGTCTCTCTTGGTCGTCTGTTCCTCCACTTCCTGTTTCCTGACCTCGCCGTGTTTGAGCGCTCTGCTGACTTGCTCGCTGACATGCGTTCACTAGATTCTAGCTACCACGCTGCCTGCACTGACGCACAGCTTGCACTGCTCTCCCCTCCCATGGCGATTATTATCTAATTCATCGCCACTAGCGTCCCTGACCACCTTGCCTTGGTTCGTGACGCGCTGAAGCACCCTAGCGAGCTCACTATCGACGTCCTTGAGTCTGCCCTCAAGGACGTCGAGAGCAACCTTTTCAAGGTAGTCTCTGCCTCTAGTGCTGTGCCCCCGCCACTGTTTTACTGGTGCACTTTTTCTCAGTTTCCCACCTTTACTGCCTTCATCGCCACTGCCGCTACTGACGTGACCGCAGCTGCTGTTACGACTTCTGCGCGGTCTAGAGCTCGGAGTGGCAGGAGGGGCAGCCAGGGTGCGGGTCGCAGCGGAGGTGGCGTTGCGGGCGGCGGTGGCGGGAGTGCAGGAGTTGGTGGAGCGCCTGGTGCCGCGTCGAGTGACTCCCCTACTACGGCTGGTGGAGTGTTGGATGCACGTCATTCTGAGTGCATGTCATCCTAACGTCCTGCTGAGTGCTCGTGCTGTTCATGCGTGCATTGTTTGCATGAGCATATGTTATTGTGCATGGCTGTTGGATTTTACCACCTCTGTGTTTTTCTCCAAGTCTACATGCTTGATCATGCAGGAGAAATCCAGAGCTTTCCAACGATACCAAGATCACCTTATTCCGACCAAGATTGCGCAAGTTACAAGATTTCCAAGATTTGGATTTCTTATTACCTTTTGGGGTTATATCTAATTTGGGCGGTTATTGGGACATGACTATAAAGGGATCTTTGGTTGGGTGGTTAGGAAGGCAACTTTGACTTTTGGATTGGGGTGGCTAGAAGTTTCTAGCATGGGTTGCAAATGTTGCAACACCTAGGCAAAATCCAACTAGATTGGATTTTGCATGTGACACCTCAAGGACCTCATGATGAGGGTTGCATCCTTGCTGCTAGGAAGGTTCCTACCATCCTTCCCTAGCTCTTGGAGAACCCCTTCCCTCTCATGGTTCTCTTGGAGGTCCCCAACTCCAACTTTCTATGCTTCATGCTTGTACTTCCTCCATCATTCTAGTCATGCAGCAGCTTGACGTTTTCATATGGTTCTCACTCTCTAGACCATCTTTTTAAGTGATTCAAATTGGAGATGGTAGCTAAGCCTAAGGCGCAACATCCTTCCAATCGGATTTGCGTTTAGTTGAAAAATGAGTTCGTCGTAAACTCTCGAAGTGACGGATCCTTGAACAACAAGTTGTATCAGAGCGGGTAGTCGACTTTGAGACGACGAATCGTAGTCAATTCTCAACCAATGTTGACGAGTGAGACCATTTTCTAGTAGCTCTGCTCTCGAAATTTCGATTGGTGGTCGAATTGCTTTCTATTTCGAAGTATCCAGTCCGCGACGGCGATTTTCGTAAAGTCGAAATTTCTGGCAGAATCTTGTCCAAACGATTTCTGTTTCCATCGTTCATAAGGCCTCAATATGACTGGAACGGACTCCAGAGGTGCTAATGGCGAGATGGCTGGAGGTAGAGAGGCTGGAGAGCAGGGGGGAGTTGCTGGTGGTGGAGTGGGGACTCACCAACCAGCCAACCCTACGCTACCCTCGACTTCTACAACATCTCCAACAACCGTGGATCCCGTGAAGGCGTTCTCTATCGAGAAATTCATGGGGGAGGACTACGAGCACTGGAGCTTCCGCATGAGGCTGATGTACACCCAATACAAGCTATTGGACCTGGTGGAGGGGAAGGAGAAGATGTCGGATTCCGCGGAGCTGAAAGGAGCGTGGATGAAGCGATCGTTCGACGCGTACATGCTCATGGTGCAAGCGGTTGGAGGACGACAACTTGACCACATCAAGGACCTCTTGGGTGATCCAGAGTGTGGCCCCAAGGCTTGGAGGAAGCTTCTGGATGTGCACTCACGGACACATGCTACCGGCATCGTGCTACTCGCGCGGCGGCTGCGCGACATCAAGTTCGTTGATGGAGAGCCGATGCAACCGGTGTTGGACGAGATGCGCGACATCTTCACGAAGCTCCAAGGCGGCGGTGTGGTGTACCCGGAGCTCGTGCAATGCGTGGAGATCGTGATACGGCTGCCGGAGTCGTGGTCTGCCCTTGCAATCAACCTCAACTCCCAACAACCCCAATGGAGCGTGGATTACATCCGGGCGCGCATTCTTGAGGAGGACTTGCGGCGCCGGAGTGTGGAGCGCTCGGAGGAGGGGGCTGGCTATGGAGTTGGAGGTGGAAAGAGTGGCTTCAAGAAGAAGTGGAAGGGCAAGAACAAGGACAACCCTAAGGAGGATGGCGGCGGGGGTCAAGGGGAGGTGTGCTTCTACTGCAAGAAGCGCGGACATCGTTGGCGGAAGTGCTACCAACGACCCAAGGATTGGACCCCGCCTTCATCAAGCAACCAGCATGGTGGCAAGAGGAGTGGGGGAGTCATGGGAGCTAGTGGAGAGGAGAAGGATGAGGAGAAAGGCGGCAAATCTGAGGAGCGAAAGGCCAGGTTCTCTTCTTCGTAAAGGAAGGTGCAACCGACCTCGCTATGGCTGCCAAGGTTCTCCTACACCCTCTCACCCATTGGGTGATTGACTCGGGAAGCTCCTGGCACATGACTCCTCGTGCGGACCTACTCGATGAGATTCAGCCCGCACCCATCTCTACAGTCAGATCCGCAACGGGGCGCCAAGGCCAAGGTCATGGGCATGGGATGCGCCAAGTTCATGGGAGCGGATGGAGAGCTCGTGGGGCTGAAGAACGTGCTGTGGGTGCCGGACTTGTGCGCGAACCTGATTTCTACCGGCCGGTTAGGAGTGAACGCCGAGACAATTGGCTCGGTACGCTATCGTGCCTACAACGATGAGCGGCTGATTTGGGACCTGCGGCAGAAAGGGGATGTCCACAAGGGCATGTGGCAGATCCCGGTCCTCCCTTGGCGGAAATCGGGCAAGGCGGCAGCAGTGGCATCAATGGAGGAGAGCGTCACTGACAAGGACCAGCAAGGTATGCAAGGAGAGGAGCTGATTGGAGGAAGCGCGGCGGTGAAGGCGTCGGCTGCCTCGGCCCAAGCGGATTGGGAGACTTGGCATCGGCGGCTCGCACACGTGGCTGTTTCTACATTGGAGGTGATGCACAAGGAGAAGTGCGTGCATGGGCTGCAACTGCAAGGAGATGGCGCTCACTATGGCAGCTGCGAGGCGTGCATGCAAAACAAGTTTGCGCGGTTCCCGTTTCCACGTGCGGAGGGATCGGCGAAGGCACCCTTGGAGGTGGTGCACATGGACCTGGTGGGTCCTATGAGGACGGAGGGGACAGGGGAAGTGCTGTACTTCCTCACCATGGTGGACGAATGGAGCAGATTCACATGGGCTCGTCCCTTGTCCAAGAAGAGCGATGCTGCAGCGGCGATCAAGGAGGATTGGTTGCCGATGGTGGAGCGGCAAGCGATGCGGCTGGTGAAGGTGCTGAGGAGCGACCATGGTGGAGAGTTCCTTGAAGCAGAATTTACCAAGTTTCTCAAGAGAAACGGCATCCGACACTAGCTGACCTGCCCAGGAACACCGCAGCAGAACGGCATTGCTGAGCGTGCCAACCGGACCATTGGCGAGGCGGCTAAGACTCTGTTGGGGGCTGCTGGGATGCCCTACAAGTTCTGGCCTGAAGCTGTTCGCCATGTCATCACGGTCAAGAACAGGGTCTTGACGCATGTTGGCGACAAGCACTGTGTGTCGTACGAGCGTTGGCTTGGGAAGAAGCCATCCATTGACATGCTGCGGGTGTGGGGCTGCATGGGGCTTGTGATGGTGCCTAAGGAGCAGAGGCACAAGCTGGAAGTTGCTGCTGTGTGGGCTGTCCATCTTGGGATGGCTCCTGACTCGAAGGGGTGGCTGATGTGGGACCCCAAGAGCAAGAAGACGCTGGTCAGCCGTGACGTCAAGTTTGTGGAGGACGTCATGTACAAGGACTGGCAGCAGCAGCAGCAGGTGCAGATTGGCTTACGTCTGCATGAGATTGAGCGGTCTGCAGTGGAGGAGGTTCAGCTGCACCTTGAGGATCTCCCTGGGTCAGAGCTGACCAGTGACCACAGTGGCGGTGGTGAGCAGCAAGTTTCTGGTCCTGCTGCGGAGGAGGGGTTGGAGGATGAGTCGGCACGTGTGGACTCACCATCTCAGCCCGAGCCTGCTGCAACTGCCAAGGTCACCAAGAGGAGTGTGCAGAAAGGAGCTTCACCACATGGGCAGCAGACTGCAACCCGCGAGAAGAGAGTGGCAGCAGCACCTTCAAGGCTGAAGTATAGCCGTTTGGGAGGACCCAAGCAAGGTGCCATGGCGGTTCAGGCGGATGAGGGAGAGGATGAGGAGATGGCCTTCTGTTTCTTCACACCTCTCCCTGGAGAACCGGCCACAGTGGAGGAGGCAATGAGTGGACCCCAGAAGGAGGAGTGGAAGGCTGCCATGGATGCGGAGTTCAACAGTCTCATTGAGAATGGGACTTGGGAGCTTGTTGAGTTACCCGAGGGGCGACGGCCGATCAGCAGCAAGTGGGTCTTCAAGGTGAAGAGTGGAGCTGATGGTGCGCTGGAGCGGTTCAAGAGCCGCTTGGTCGCCAAGGGGTTTCAGCAGAAAGAGAAGGTTGAATTCAAGGAGATCTTCGCTCCCGTTGTCAAGCCAGTGACTTTGAGGACTGTGCTTGTTGGCGCAGCTGTGAAGGGATGGCACGTGAAGCAGATGGATATCACCACAGCATTTCTGAATGGAATACTGCTGGAGGATATCTACATGGCGCAGCCCGACGGCTATGAGGATGGGACCAGCCGGGTGTGCAAGCTCAAGAAGGCCATCTATGGCCTTAAGCAGGCGCGCAGGTGCTGGTATGAGAAGCTGGAGGAGGTGCTGCTGAGTGGAGGCTTCAAGACATCCCAGACGGATCACAGCTTGTTTCTGCTTGGAGAGGGGGAGCAGCTGCTCTTGCTGCTGGTGTATGTCGATGACATACTGCTGTTCTCACCCTCCATGGAGCAGATTGAGAGGGCACAGAAGCTGCTGGTGGACAACTTCAAGTGCAAGATGCTGGGGGATGTCCACTACTACTTGGGGCTGCAGATTGAGAGGGATGTTGAGAGGAGGTGGCTGAAGATGCATCAGTCACACTACATCTCTGGTGTCATGGAGCGTTATGGTGTGACTGGAGGTCGCACTGTGATGACGCCGTTTCCTGCGGGCTTCAAGTTGAAGAAGGCAGCTGAGGAGGATGATGTACTCGAGGATGAGCAGCAGAATGTGTACCCGTCACTTATAGGGAGTGTGATGTATGCTGCTGTGCATACGCGACCTGATGCTTCATTTGGAGTGGGGCAGCTAGCAAAAGTTGTGCAGCAGCCCACTGAGGAGCATTTGGAGGTGGCAAAGCGCTTGGTGCGCTACCTCGGATCAACGGCATCTGCTGGTGTTCAGTTTTCAGCTGGCGGCCAGCTGAAACAGATTGGAGCAGATGGGATCACGCCTGGAACCTTGAAGCTGTCGTGCTTCACCGACGCTACGTGGGCCTCGGAGGAGGAGGATCAGTCATCAGTTGGCGGCTTTGTGTGCATGGTCGGAGGTGGACCAGTAAGCTGGAGGTCCAAGAAGCAGAGTGAGATTGCTCAGTCTTCCGGAGAGGCAGAGTACATGGCGATGTACCATGCCATCAAGGAGATCGTGCTCCTGAGGAAGCTGCTGGAGGACATGGGAGCTGAACAGCAGGGACCTACACCACTTTTCTCTGACAGCGAGGCTGCTATTGGCATGGCCAATAATCCTATCCTGAATGGGCTGAACAAGCACATGAAGATTAAGTGGCACTGGGTGAGGCAGATGGTGAAGGAGGGGATTGTTGAGCTTCACCATGTGAAGGCTAGCAAGCAGGCGGCAGATTTTCTCACCAAGAGACTTCCCGAGAGCGCACATTGGAAGTGTGCTAAGATGTGTGGCATGGCATTGCACTAGTGTGGGTAGCTGTGTCATGAGTCCATGCATGTGTGTGTGCATGAGAGTTTGCATGCGTGTGAGTGCGTGTGCATGCAGTCCGTTAGTCTGAGGGGGAGTTTGTTGGATGCACGTCATTCTGAGTGCATGTCATCCTAACGTCCTGCTGAGTGCTCGTGCTGTTCATGCGTGCATTGTTTGCATGAGCATATGTTATTGTGCATGGCTGTTGGATTTTACCACCTCTGTGTTTTTCTCCAAGTCTACATGCTTGATCATGCAGGAGAAATCCAGAGCTTTCCAACGATACCAAGATCGCCTTATTCCGACCAAGATCGCCCAAGTTACAAGATTTCCAAGATTTGGATTTCTTATTACCTTTTGGGGTTATATCTAATTTGGGCGGTTATTGGGACATGACTATAAAGGGATCTTTGGTTGGGTGGTTAGGAAGGCAACTTTGACTTTTGGATTGGGGTGGCTAGAAGTTTCTAGCATGGGTTGCAAATGTTGCAACACCTAGGCAAAATCCAATTGGATTTTGCATGTGACACCTCAAGGACCTCATGATGAGGGTTGCATCCTTGCTGCTAGGAAGGTTCCTACCATCCTTCCCTAGCTCTTGGAGAACCCCTTCCCTCTCATGGTTCTATTAGAGGTCCCCAACTCCAACTTTCTATGCTTCATGCTTGTACTTCCTCCATCATTCTAGTCATGCAGCAGCTTGACGTTTTCATATGGTTCTCACTCTATAAACCATCTTTTTAAGTGATTCACATTGGATATGGTAGCTAAGCCTAAGGCGCAACATCTACCGAACGGATTTGCGTTTAATTGAGAAATGAGTTCGTCGTAAGCTCTCGAAGTGACGGATCCTGAACAACATGAAGGTGCCGCTCGGGTTTGTTGGGCACCTGCGAGACTCCCAACTGCAGGTACTGGAGTGGCGGCTTGGTACCTGACCCAGCGTCAGCATCATCAGCAGTAGCCACCCCCCTCGCAGCGGCCACAGCAATAGCAAGGGCAGCAGCAGGGGTCAGGACCGCGTCGGCTGTCGTGTGGTGACACCCACCCTCCCTGCCCCTATATCATCCAGAAAGGTACTCGCAGAGGCTTCCGCTGTGACCACCACCACCCACCGGGTTAGTGCTTTACTCAGCTCACTAACACTCTTCACGCAGCCTACGGCGTCGACGGCACTGCCCCTGACTGGCTTCCTCTTGTTCACTCGCAGGGTGTCGCTCTGCGGGCCATGTCTGCTTCTCAGTTTCTTAATCTCTTAGGAACCCCTCATGCTATGTACGCTGTTGTTGACTCTTGTGCTTCTGACTCTGTTTGCTCGAGTGTTTTAGCTTAGGTGCTAGTGTTGATCCTGTGCCAGTTGCTAGTGTAGGTACTTGCTTAGGTACTAGTCTAAGTGCTGTTCCGGGGGACGCTTCGCTGTCTTTCACCCTGGACTCGGGGGCTTTGCACTATTTCTTTTGCGACCACGCAATTCTTACTCAGCTTCCTGTGCCGGTCTCCGTAGCACTTGCTGATCCCAATCCGGGACCAGTCACTGCTCGCTACACTACTACGCTTCCGTGCCCGGCTGTTCCCTCGGGTTCCTAACCGGCTTTCACGTCCCCTCGTTCTCCAGGAACTTGGTGGGTGTGAGGCCACCCGTGGACAGTCACTGTGGGTGTTTGGATTGAGCCTCCTGGGGACACTGCGACCTGTGTAGACGGTGACACGTACGCGCCCCTGGCCACCTTTCATGCTAAGCTGGGCTAAAGTCTCTACACACTTAATACTAGCCCCCGACAGAGGCAGCAGCAGCAGTAGCAGCAGCAGCAGCAGGAACAACAACAACAACAACAACAACAACAACAACAACAACAACAACAACAACAACAACAACAACAACAACAACAACAGCAGCAGCAGCAACAGCAATAGCTGCAGCTGCTGCCTCCGACCCCTGTCACTACCCCCCATCAGGTCCCCGCATCTCGCCAAGTTGCCGCCTCCCACCAGGTATCTGTGTCTGTAGGGTTCCAGCATCTGGTCCGGTTGCTGCGTCTTGTTCATGTCAGTCGCTTGCCCACCCCACCGTCCTGTACCACCACCGCCTTGGTCACAAGTCCTCGCCTGCGTACTATGTCTAGTCAGAGTCTCGTCTTAGGCCTCGCGCGAGTCTTGATGTTGCTGTCGCCTTCGCCTGCACCACCTTGCACCTCTTGCGTCGAGGGTCGGCTGCGAGCCACCCCTCACTCCTCCTCCCTTCGTCCAGCCACCGAGCCTACAGGAGGTTCTGGGCTTCGGGGAGCTCGTGTTAGTCGAGCTATCCCTGGGGGTCCTACGACTGGGGGTGCTACGACTGGGGGTGCGGGTGCGCCCTCGGCGGGCTGTGGAGAGTTTGGGACTGGCCGTGTTGCTGCTGGTGGTGCTGGCTCAGGGGTGGTGCAACTGGTGCTTTGGAGAGCGGTCCTAGGGCTACCACCGCCCCGGACACTACTCCTTCCCCCCACCCCTACCCAACCCGGTACCAGGCCCGTGTTCGCCGTGCACGTGAGGAGCAGTTAGAGCTAGAGTGAGAGGGGCTAGAGTTGGAGCGACAGCAGCTGGAGATGCAACAGCCAGAGGAACGACAGCAGCAGCAGCAGGCGCAGCAGTCGCCACAGCAGCAGCAGTAGCAGCAGCAGCAGCAGGAGGAGGAGCAGCAGCAGCAGCAGCAGGAGCAGCAGGAGCAAGAGCCACAGCAGCAGCAGTAGCAGCAGCAACAGCAGCAGCAGCAGCACCAGCAGCAGCAGCAGCAGCACCACCAGCAGCAGCAGCAGCAGCAGCAGCAGCCACTGCAGGAGGAGCAACAGCAGAAGCAGCAGCAGCCGCCACCTCCGCCTCCTGTCTCTGGCCTTCGGACCCTCGGTCTCCCCTCTCCCTCTCCTCCCCCTTCTCCCTCTCCTCCTGTCTACAATCACACGTTTCCTCCTCTTGATCCCACCCCAACTGTTTTCCCCCGTACTCAGCCTCTGTTGTCCCCTCCTCTTTCTCACACTTGGGCTTCTCGCTCTCCTCGTGCTCGTGGCTCGTCCCTGTCCCTGTCACTGACCTTCGCACTGTCCTGTTCCGTTCTAGTCCGCCTCTCTCGTCTCCGTCTGTGCTTACTTCTCCTTCTAAGTCGGCCCTCACTGCTTCCCTCTCTACTCCTGTCACTGACTACTACCGCACGTACCACCCTATTCTCTCTCGTTTTCTCGCCTCTCTTGTTACAGACCCTCGTGCCTCTCTGTCCTCCGTCTCCGCCCTTACTGCCGCTGTCTCTGAGTTCGCTGCTACGCGCTGCCTTGACTACGCCACTCGTCTTCTGGCTGCTCCTCCTAACAGTCCTCTGGCCGTCGAGGGTGAGTCTGCCCTTGGCTGTGACGCCCTAGAGGACAGGCAGTTTCAGCAGGAGTTCTTGGCAGTCGCTTCCCATCATCTCTGTGCCATGCTACTCGCCCCTGAGGGAGACCCCAACGCCCTTGACATACCGACTCCTCGCACTTATGCTGAGGCAGTGTTAAGGCATTGGGCTTCTCAATGGAGAGCTGCCATGGACTCAGAGATGGCCTCCTACAGATCCATAGGCACCTACGTCAACGAGGTCCCCCACCATGGGGCGAATGTAGTCGATGGCATGTGGATCTTCAGGGTGAAGCGACCACCCGGATCTCCTCCAGTCTTCAAGGCGCGCTACGTGGCTAGAGGTTTCAGTCAGTGCGAGGGAGTTGACTTCTTTCAGACCTTTGCGCCTACCCCGAAGATGACCACTCTTCGGGTATTATTGCACGTAGCAACACCGAGTCTATGGGTTACTCTCTCCTGACATCTCCATTGCCTTCCTTCGGGGCAGCCCACACGAAGAGGTCTGGTTGCGCCATCCGTCAGGTGGTATGACACCCTTCGCTCTGCCCTGTCTGACCTCGGTTTCCAACCGTCTTCTGCCGACCCGTCGCTGTTTGTTCATCTTGGCTCTACACCGTTCTTCGTACTGGTCTACGTCGACGACCTGGTTTTCGCCACTGCTGACAGGGTTGCTTTGGCTGACGTGAAGTCTGGACTGCAGAAGAGACATACATGCACTGACCTTGGTGAGCTGCGCCACCACCTAGGCTTGCAGATCACCAGGGACAGAGCCGCTTGCACCATTACACTCGCACAGTCACACATGGTGCAGCAGGTCCTTCAGCGGTTCGAGCTTCAGCACTCCACAATACAGCGCACGCCTCTTTCTGTTGACCACAGACTCAATGGTCCCTTTCCTGACGAGCCGTTTGAGCCTAGTGGTCCTTACGCAGAGCTTGTGCCTCTTGTACCAAATGACTTGTACTCGCCTGGACCTCGCCTTCCCTCTCAGCGTCCTTGCTCGCTTTGTTGCGCCAGGGAGACACCGTCCTGTTCACTGGACAGCAGCTGTGAGGGTGGCGAAGTACCTAGCGACGACATCAGGCGTGGGGCTGGTACTTGGAGGGAGACAGTCTGTCGTACTCATTGGTCACTATGACTCTTCTTACGCTGACGACGCCGAGACTCGCAAGTCTACTTAGTGGTATTGCTTCAGCCTGGGCTCTCGAGCTATTTCGTGGAGGTCCACGCGTTCCTCTTCAGCCTCGACCTCTACCGCTGAGGCTGAGATCTACGCTGGAGCCATGGCTGCACAGGAGCTGCGTTGGTTGACCTTCTTGCTCACCGACCTTGGTGAGCGGCCGAGCTCTGCACCGACCTTGTTCACTGACAACACTGCGACGATTCTCCTCTGTCAAGAGCCTCGACTGGAGAGCAGAGTGAAGCACATCAACATCAGGTATTTTATTCTGCGAGAGTTGTAGAGGCATGGACAGGCTCGCTTGGACTTTGTGGAGTCCGAGGCCAACACTGCAGACATCTTCACCAAGGCCCTTCCTCCTTGAGACCATGGGAGGTGTTGTGTGCAGTCAGGACTCGTTGACACAGATTCTCGTCTTGTGTAGACTTTGTTTGTTTTGTTGTACACTTTGCATATACCTTTGTGAATAGCCTTGTGGCTTTTTTGCTTGTGCTCGGATTGTGTAGTGACGTTGAGATCCACACTGAGCTTGGTTTCTTTGTGATTGGTCTTGTGAGCATACGGTTTTGTTTTTGCTTGACACCCCTCACTTAGGCTATGGGGGTGTGTCAAATGTTGTAGTATGTAGTGATGCGTCTCATATGGGGTACAGCAGTTAGGGTTAGGTTTATGTACCCCAACCCACAATAGTAAACCATCATTTAGTTTAAAGCCCGAGTCTAGAATGGTTACTCTTCAAGTTCAAGATTCTTGAACTAGAAATCGCCAATGAACCAGGTAACCTGGTTTGGAACACCGTCCCCTCGCAGCCCCCAAAGGAGTGTTTGAAGCGCATGAATTTGATTGGATGAAACTACAACGGCCACAACAGTCACAGCCATCGCCAGAAAAACACAAAACTGGAACTACTGTTCACCCTTTCCGGAACTTGAAGCAAGAGAATACCTTTCTAGACTCGATGGTAGTGGGCTCCATAGCCCTCAGAATCAGTTTTATCCCGTGAATGATGTGTGGCTTTCACCAGTCACTCTACTTAGTATAGGGTCAATGGTAGCATTACTCACGCCCCTCACTCCTGTCACTCGTAATCCTGACGTGCACCTCCTATTCGCACATGTTATCGCAAACGTCCACAAGACAGCTAATTCTCCGCGTTCCAAAGACATCGCTCGCTCGCACGCGTTTAGGATTCGAGCAGACTCCACGCGAACACCTTCCACACACACGCTCCCCGTCACTCGCAATACATGTAATTGCATCCGTATACGTGGCTCTCTAGGCTCCACGCCCTCCCAGTTCTAGCCCAAAACTCTCCCCGCGATTTGCGCTCGCCTCCCCTCCCGTCGCCTCCCCTCCCGTCGCCTTTTAGGTGACGCTCCCTTCCCGCGCCCGTCGCCCACGCTTGCTCTGAGTGTCGCCCACGCTCTCCCAACCCGTCGCTCGCCGCCATTCCCTTCACGTCGCCCTCGCTTTTCCTACCGTTCGCCCACGCGATTCCTTCCCGTCACCCTCGCCTTGCCTTCCCGTCGCCCTCGCAATTCCTTCCCTTCGCTATCGTAGGTCGTGCTCGACCAGTACAACCCTCGGCTCAGACTCCCTCGTAACCTCCCTTCCCTCCCTCCATTCGACCCTCTCCGCCGCTCGCCTTCCGCCCCACATTCGCATCGCCACTCGATCCGTCGCGCTCCCTCCGCCCCTCATTCGCATCGCTCACTCGATCCCGTCGCGCTCTCCCTCCCGTCGCTCGCTCAAACCCTCCGCTCACACGGTGCTATCGCCTCATCGTCGCTCACACACTCACGTTTGACACGCCCGCTCCGAACACTCCCCAGTCGCACACTCCCTATCCCCTATCGTCGCTCAAGAACTCCCGTCCCGCAATTGCTGCTGTCGCTCTCGTTCCTGCTGTCCCCCTTTGGTCGTCCATTGCCTTTCTTCGTCACTCGCGGGCTTCGCTCACCCCCCTCCCTGCTTCCTCCCTCCTTCCCCTCCATATCCCGCCATGCGCCAACCTAGGAAGCACCAACCTCCGCGTGCCTGCCGCGCGTAACGGTGCGTGCAGATCCGGCTGGCTTGTGCCCCACTACTAGACATCCTACGCCTTCCTAGAGGTGCGGGCGATGGGCGGGGCGGAGGGAGATGTGGGGGAGGGGAAAGAGAGGGCTGGGGGATGGCTGACAGGGGGCTGGGAGAGGGGTGGGAGAGGGGAGGGGGGAAAAAGGGCGGGGAGGGGGGGGGGGAAGAGGGGGGGGGGGGGGAGTTGGAATGTGGATAGAGAGAAGGGGGGGGGAGGGAAAGGGGAGCTTGGTTGAAAGTGTGAGGGTTGCGCAGTGTGAAGAAATGTGTGGCGACGGTGATTGCGCACAGTTGTACAATACAAGAGTTTCGACCCCTCTCACTTAGGGTATTCCCGTGCCGCCCATGCGACATAGATTGCTCAGGTATCCACACGTTGTGCGAGATCTTCCCACCTTGGCCTTCCCGCCGGTTCCCCTCTGCGCCATCCCCGCTCTTTCCCTCCCTCTCCTTTCTCCCCTCCCCCCATCCCCTTCTTCCCCCCTACAGCCTGCAGGTGCGCAAGTAAGTGTGCATGTATACCGCTGGCTACTTCCAAAACAGCCCCTCTCCACTTCCCCGCACTCATCTCCTCCCCTGCTGCAGGTGTGAGAAGACTTCAAACGTCTCTCCGACACCCCTCATACACACTCCTCAAACACAAGGCCTTTAGCTCTCACACCCTCTCACGCGCTTCGCTCACTCACACCCGTCCCTCTCTCCTCTCATCACGTACTCATGCTTCCCGCTCTTCCACTCCACACCCTTCTAGCCACACTTCCTCCTTCCTAACCTGCCCTTCTTCTCCCCAGCTGTGCCTCTCTTCCCTCCGTCTCACTTTGCCCTGATAGGGTTTTCCCCTCCGTCCCTCACAGTGCAGCCTGTCTACTGTCTTCACCCTCAGCCCATCTCTCCCCGTCCTTTCCCCCCCCTGATCTCCTCTCCGCCTCTGCCATCTTTTCCTACTTGCCGCCCTCCCTTCCATCTCCCTTCGGCCTGCGCTGTTTCTTCCGACTCTCACCCGTGCTGCTCCCACTTCCGTACACACAACTACCCCACTCCCCCTGTGCTGCTCCCTCCCACCTCCGCACCTCGTGTTTGTCACTTCCCCCCTCACGCGCCCCATGTTATTTCTTGATAAACCCCGGCTCCTTCGCGCCCTTCCCTCCCTCTATTCTCGTCCCTTACTCCCCTAATCCTCTGCTACCTTCCCGCCCAACTCATCTCATCTCTTCCCTCTATGCCCCTGTCCGCTCCCCCGTTTCGCATTCCAGGGATTTTCATTCATTGCCCCCAACTCGCGACTCACAGAATGCATGTGCAGCACCAACACTCACCGTTCGCGAGTGTGATCCTGCGGAATGATAACGGGCATAACATGGATTAGGCGAGCTCGTTTAGGGATAATGGACTTGACACTGCTCCCCCCTCCCTACACACTGTCCAGAAGACTGTTCCCTGGGTTGCCCCTCCATCCCTTCCCCCGCTGACCTCCCCTTCGTTCCCCGCCTCTCCCCTCTCTCCCTTTCCCCCGCGTCCTCCCTTCCGGTTCTCCCTTTGTCTCACCATCCCTGATCCCCGTGTCCCTCCCTCCATTTTCCCCCATGTTTCTCCCTCCCTTCCCCCGTGCCCTTCCCGCCATTTCCCCCCTTACTCTGTGCGCCTCAATCTGCGTTTCACCTCTCTGCCTTTCGCTGGCCTGCCCGTCGGCACCTCCTCAAACGTGTGCTCCCCACCAACCCCTCCCCCCATTCCCTGCCACCCCCTGCCCCCCATCGTTCTGCCCATCGCTCCCCACGACTGCCATCAAGCCATGACCAATCCATTGGCGCTAAGGTCCGATCCTTGTTGCCACGCCGAATCCGTGTTATCTTTCGTTGACGCGAGCGATACCCGGTCACCAACCGATCCATGGAGTTGTTCCAGTGCAGAACAGCCAGCGCTATTCGTGCTTCAAAACTTCCCCGGAAACGAATCCTCTTGGGAGCGTACTTAAGGATGACTGAATGAAATGATTCGTTAATGGAACTAGACGCACCATGAACGAACATTTTCACCTTGTCTGGCCCGCCGCAGTGCTTTGCAAGCCAAGCCTGCACCGCCTTGTGAGTATCCGAACCCTTCTCGTAAATCGCAGTCTCGATGCCCCATCGCTCCGTCACGCAGCGAGATGTACGCCCTGATTGGCCACACCCCGAGTGATCGCCCGCCCAATGGTTGGCTGCAAGCCCCAGCTCGTCAGCCACTTGTTCCGGTGTCATCGCTTTACCCTCCGCCAGCCGTGCAGCACACCTCATCATGACGTAGTGAAAGTGTGAGGCGAAGCGTGAAGCCACAGTCACCCACCCATCGTCCGCGTCCTGGTCCTCACCGTCCCGTTTTCTTTTCCGACGCTTGGTCCAACGTAGTGTTGGTGTAGGTTCGGGTGCGCATCCAGTTCTGTCTTCTTCTCCTTCACCAAGGTCATCAACCGCCCCCACAAGTCCTGCAATGTAACATTGAACAAGGTGGTCGCGTTACAGTTAGGGATGAACAAATGCAATAATATCCAACGTTTGGATAATTGCGTAGCCACAAACTCACTGGCATCGGGATCGGAAGAGGTCCAAGGGGTGCTTCCTCCGATAAATTCAGAGTGCACACCAGCAGACATGTGTGCATGCACCACGAGAGAAGAAGCGAGTGACGATGGCCGGGTGCCACGCGCGGGGTGCACATCATACTCCCAGAGCTGGTCGACATCGCTCCACTGGACCTCCACCATCCTTTCTCCGGCTTCCGGTTCCTCGTCCACATGCCCATCTGTCTCCACCACCCTCGGACCTTGTGTTGAACTGGCATGTTGCGCTGCTGGCGCATCTCCGTACCCCACTGGAACATCAACCACCGTGCCACTGCCCACAACCCTCCGCACTTTCCGCAGCTCCAGATGCTTCCACTTTGCATCGTCTTATGTCATCTTCACATAGGGGAAAGCTCCCATGGCTTTGCAGACTGACTGCACCAAACTCTCCTTCAGTGTCGCTTTGCTCTCTTGAAGTAGCCCTTTATTTTTCAGCCACTGCTTCAGTCCCGGTATTGTAGCAAGCCATAGATGTTCGATCCTAGTAGCATTCTCTAGCGAAACAGGTTCATGTACCGCGTCCTGTAATTCCCTCCGAAATAAGTTGTACAGCGTCTTCTTCACATGCCACGTGTCTACCTGAAGGTTCAAATTCCGCTCGGCAGCAGCTCCTTTGAACGTGGTTCCCTGATCGGAAACAATCCCCTTCACCACAAAACCCTCCGCAGCTAAGGCGTCAAAGCCCTTGTCAAAGGCGATTCTCTCCAACTTCACAGACGACTTGTCATGGACATGTTTCTGCGTCGTTGACGACTTGTCATGGACATGTTTCCGTGTCACGCTATCCATAAAGGATACTGTACACCACTCCCCCCCCCTCACATGAGACCATCGTCCATCCACCATGACAAATTCCACAGCAATCCCGCGTTTCTGCATCTCTGTACGCACCTCCCGCATCGATTTATCTGCTTCCTTTATAATCGCACTCCATAAGCCCTTATCCTCGCTAAGGTGCTTATAGAATGTCGCTTTGGCCGGCGAAGGGATGCCAAAGCTGCGACAAAACTCCCACATCTGCTGATAACCCAATCCCCCCAAGGCAAAGGCTGCCACGAACTTAGACTGAAGAAGGGGCGGACGTGCTCCACCAGTGGCTCGCCTTCTCTCGATGGTTCTACTGTTGCACGACCAGAACTCGATCGTGTGTGAGCATGAGTTACAGTGCCAGAGGAGCCCTGCCGATGCCCAATTGAATCGCCATGACCTCAACGTCATCTCCCCGTCGCACCCTCCCTTATGCGAACAGACAAGGCGACATCCACGGAAGAAACCCACCAAGTTTCGCGGCTCGACCAAACATACCCGTTTCTCAGGGATCACGTCGACTTGTGGAGTGGAAGGCCAGTATCTAGGCGTAGGTCGGTGTGCCTCTGTGTGGTGTTGGTTGCAAGATATCCTGTACGAAGTGGGTTCAGAACAAGGTGGCGAGAAGCAGAAATGTTTGGACAAGGGTAGAAGGTAAAGAAACTTTCGAACCGGACCCTAGTAGGATGTGTAAACGAATTCATCTTTTGCATCATCTGATCACAGAAACAAAAGAATCAAACTCATGAGTTGGAGTGGATGATGGCTCCGTGGGGGTCGGCGGCGGTCCAGTCGTTGCCTCGCATATGACGTACGGCGCAGTGCCCTCGTTGTACGGCGTCGCCCCCCCCACATCCGCTCCTCCGACGCCTGTCACTTCATCCGTCGTCTGCCTACCGAGGTTGTGGTGCTGAGTGCAGGATGACCTGGATGGCGCATAAAAGGGAGGGTAGAGGGTATTGCAATATTGAAACCAGGTAATGGTTTTGCCAAATTACAATGGGATGATAATGTACACCGCGTGAACGAATTCGCGACTCGTATTATCTAAGAACAGTAACGCAACGATCTTACAGGTGAATCGGAGTGGACAGTGGCTCTGTGGGGGTTGGCGGCGGTCCAGTCGTTGCCTCGCACATGATGGATGGTGCCGTGCCCTCGTTGTCTGGTGTCGCCCCCCCCACTTCAGATGCTCCGACGTCGGTCACTTCATTAGTTGTTTGTCGGTCGGCCCTCTCCGCTTCTGTGACCGTCGTGCACCCTCCCACACCCCCGTGCAATTGTTGCTCGCCTGTTAGTTGTGCAGGAGACCAAGTGTTAATAACAATCTCACGAGGTCGTCACATCAAGCAGTCAATCACTTCTTATATCTCCATACCTGCTCTGCGCAGTTGCACAAATGCTGCACCGCGTCGAGCACCCCCCCATCCCACACCAGAGGCGCGGCGTGGTCGTCCACGTGCATTGACCTTGTATAGGGGGAATGCATATCGTATGCCCGACAAGCTCCGATTCGGGCGTTGTAAGAGATCCTCTGTCTTGCTGTAGTCCTGCCCGACGCGTGACTGGAATTGGCGCGCATACTCCCCCCGGTGCAGCTCGACCATCGCTCTTGAGTGCTCTCGTTCGTCCTCCGGAGCTGCGAGGCATTGAAACCGACAATCACACTTGGTAAGGAAGTGTGAACTGTTGAACGGATTCTGGCATCCTCAACCCAAAACCCTACCTGCAGCGATGCCCGCATCGATAAGTCGCTGCGTCGCGTGCGGGGCAGCCTCGGTAAGGAAATGCAAGACGTCGTCATGTGTTGCCATGGAGTTGCCTGGGTACAGCGCCGACATGCCGACCCGGAGAACACATAGAAATGGTCTCATGTGACGCGAAATTGTTGCACTCCCCTTTGTCGCATCTTTGCATGCCTGAGACGCTGGATGATCGCCTGCGCCAGGCGCCTGCGCCATTGAGTGCACCTGGCGGGATGACAGGACAAGTTGGTTGGGCAAAAATATTTTCGAATAGTAGCATGTGTGGTGTCACTGTGATGGCATAGTTGTGTGTAGTGCAATTACTAGACATGGCCGTATGACGTGTGCATGTCGTGTGCATCTCTTTGATTATTTTCATCCTTTTCACAACCAAACCTCACTCACACTCATCAAGGGGAGATCAGCCACCTGACAACCCTCTTCGCAATCCCAACCCACTGGGGGGAGGTGAAACCTCCCTAGCATTGACCTCATACACACCATAGAGGGAAGGTCAAGCTCCCCTCAGCCTCTTCTAAAACCCAGCACAATGGGGGGAGTTGAACCCTCCATCCCTCACACTCTTCTCATACACACTCTCAAAGGGAAGGTTAGTCTCTGGTCAACCTCACATACCCAACCCAGTGAGGGGAGTTGAACCCTTCCGCCCTCACACTCACCTCATACACACTCACCTCATAGACACTCACTTTGGGGAGGTCAGCTTCCCCTCAACCTCTTATCAAAACCCAGCCCAGTGAGGGGAGTTGAACCCTCCCTCCCTCACACTCACCTCATAACACTCACTGGGGGGAGGTCTGCCTCCCCTCAACATTTTATCAAATCCAGCCCAGTGAGGGATGCTGAATCATCCCTCTCTCCCCTCATACACACCCACTGAGGGAAGGTCACGCTCCTCTCAGCCACTTCTCTCTTACACAGCCGTGCGAGGGGTGTTGAACCTCCCCCCACACTCACCTCATATACACTCTCAAATTCCAGGTCAGCCTCCCTTCAACCTCTCATCAAACCCAGCCAAGTGAGGGGAGTTGAACCCTCCCTCCCTCACGCTCACCTCATACACATTCACTAAGGGAAGGTCTGCCTCCCCTCATCCTTTCCTCAAAACCCAGCATAGTGAGGGGTGCTGAACCCTCCCTCCCCTCATACACACCCACTGAGGGAAGGTCACGCTCCCCTCAGCCACTTCCCAAACACAGCCGTGTGAGGGGTGTTGAACCTCCCCCCACACTCACCTCATACTTTCCCTCGAAGTAAAGGTAAGCCTTTCCTCATGTCTCTCATCACACCCAGCCTTGTGAGGGGAGTAATAACCTCCCTCCCTCACACTCGCCTCCTACACACTCGCCTCCTACACACTCACCTCATACACACTCACCTCATACACACTCACCTCATACACACTCACCTCATACACACTCACCTCATACACACTCACCTCATACACACTCCCCTCATACACACTCACCTCATACACACTCCCCTCATACACACTCACCTCATACACACTCCCCTCATACACACTCACTTCATACACCCTCACTGAGGGAAGCTCAGCCTCCCCTCAACCTCTTATAACCCAGCCCAGTGAGATGTGTTGAACCCTCCCTCCATCACACTCACCTCATACACCCTCATCGAGGGAAGGTCACGCTCCCCTCAGCCAATTCTCAAACACAGCCATGTGAGTGGAGTTGAACCTCCCCCCACACTCACCTCATACACACTCTCAAAGGGAAGGTCAGCCTCCTCCCATCCTCCACCCTAAACCCGCCTCAATCTGTGAGGGGAGTTGAACCCTCCCGCCCTCACACTCACCTCATACACACTCACCTCATACACACTCACCTCATACACACTCACCTCATACACACTCACCTCATACACACTCACCTCATACACACTCACCTCATACACACTCACCTCATACACACTCACCTCATACACACTCACCTCATACACACTCACCTCATACACACTCACCTCATACACACTCACCTCATACACACTCACCTCATACACACTCACCTCATACACACTCACCTCATACACACTCACCTCATACACACTCACCTCATACACATTCACTAAAGGAAGGTCTGCCTCCCCTCATCCTTTCCTCAAAACCCAGCATAGTGAGGGGTGCTGAACCCTCCCTCCCCTCATACACACCCACTGAGATAAGGTCACGCTCCCCTCAGCCACTTCCCAAGCACAGCCGTGTGAGGGGTGTTGAACCTCCCCCCACACTCACCTCATATACACTCTCAAATTCCAGGACAGCCTCCCTTCAACCTCTCATCAAACCCAGCCAAGTGAGGGGAGTTGAATTCTCCCTCCCTCACGCTCACCTCATACACACTCCTCAGCAGGGACGGTTGAACCTCCCATCTCTCTCATGTCATACACACCCACTTACGGTAGGTTACGCTCCCCTCCACCTCTTCTCAAACCCCCCCAGCAAGGAGGGTTGAACCTCCCATCTCTCTCACGTCATACACACCCACTCACGTTAGGTTACGCTCCCCTCAGCCACTTATCAAACACAGCCTTGTGAGGGGTGTTGAATCCTCGCTCACACTCACCTCATACACATTGAGGGATGGTAAGCCTCCCCTCAACCTCCCCTCAAAAGCCACCCCGCCAAAGGGGAGTTGGTGCCTCCCTCCCTCAGTCTCACCTCATACACACCCACTGAGGCAAGGTCTCGCTCCCCTCAGCCTCTAATTAAACCCAGCCACATGTGAGGGAGTTGAAACCTCCCGTACATTCACCTCACACACACTCATTGGGGGAAGATCAGACCCCCTCCCATCTCTTTTCAAAACCAGCCCGGGGCTGGGAGGTGAAACCTCCCTTCACAAAGCCCTCATACACCTCCACCGAGAGAAGGTCAGCCTCCCCTCACCCTCTTATCTAGCCAGCCCAGGGGACAAAGTTGAACAATTCCCCACATTCACCCCATACACTCTCACTGTTGGGTTCAGCATCTTCTCAAACCCCACCCAGTGGGGGCTCGCCGTCACTCCCTCACACTCACCCCATACGCACTCACGTAGTGAAGGTCCCCCTCCCCTCCACCACTTATCAAACCCTTCAACCGTGGGGAAGTTGCACCTCGCCTCACACTGCTCTCATATACCCGCAATAGAGGGGAGGGCACCTCCTCTTATCTTCACCCCTTTGCACAGATTTTTGGGTGGAGGGGGAGGAGAGGTGGTGGGTTGAATCACATACCCTGATTTCATACCGAGTCGTTGAGGGGAGTTATTCTTTCTCTCCATCTCACTATACATCCAAACCTGTGGGGAGCGTTTGACATGCCATCTCCCTCACCTCATGCCTTATCTCGGTGGGAAGTTGTCCCTTCCCGTTCCCTCCCCTGATCCTCCCAGTTCTTAGGCAAGTTATACCTCACCTCACCTTCACTTCATCCCCACTTCAGAACCCCACCATGTTCACTCACTGGTGGCCAAGAACTTGAGGGTTGACAGATATGTTGAGTGTGTCAGTTGACCGGTCGTTTGCCGAACGTCAGCCCCCCTCGCCGGCGTAGCTGCGTAGGTGAGAACAGAGAAAAGGGACACCAGTATGAGGTGTACAGATTAGATGTGGTGCCTGCAGTAAGGTGCGTGCCGAACCTGTGGGATGCGATACAGTCTAATGCAGCGGTGGTGGGCGCGGAGCTGGCGGGGGACCGAAATCACGGTTGGTGCAGGGCGATGGTAGGTGGTGCGATATCCGTTTGCGTTAGAACGATGTCATAGCGTGTGTGAGATGCGAAGGTTGCACGCTTTCACAAATGCGACTGCGATATGCTTGGCGAAGTTGATTGCGGTGGCCTCAGTTACGTTTGAAAGTTATCGCACGTGGGTGGTGTGCCCTTGTGTGGAACAGGGACCGTCAGGTGCGGTGCTAGTGGCTGCTAACCAACATTACTGAGCGTGTTGGCGGGGGAGATTGAGTGAGGTGCTGGAAATCTTTCGCCCAGGTGACAGCTGTGACGGTTGGGTGCAGCGCAGAGGAGGGTGGAGCAGTTCGAAGGGTCCTAATAGACGCACTCCCGCTGTATCGTCGAATGTATGTCACACCAGTGTGCTGTGCGAGGGCCGCGCCTGTCAAGTGCACATCGCACTGCAAGGGGCGACGTACCCCGTCCTCCGTAACCGTTGGTGCGCGCCTTCGCACCCAGTTCGCGCAGTCAATTCCCCCTCCGTTGACAGAGCACGTCGCGATGCGTATTCTGTTAGCGCGAACGTTTCACTCTTAGTCAAGTCCAATGTGGCGTTCTCTGAACTCAACGGGCGTTGGAACGCTCGTGCAAGCGATGGAACGTGCGTTTAACACTTTGTCACTCGCGTCACCTCACGTACGACCCTCCGCTGTCTCAACATTGGGTCTCTAGGAAGCATGATTTTCAGCCGCGCCTCTGTTGTAACATCCTGCTGGCGACTCGGTACTCCTGGACTAAGGCACGTATCTGTTGCGTACTCCTGTGGAACTCCGCTACCTACTTTGCGATTCCAGAGACGCATAAAAGACCGTTGCAAGCCCGGTAGATAGCTCTCAATGACGAAGCGCAGGAGTCTTGGTTGGTAGGTGAAGGTTGTCGAATGCTATTTTTCAGGTCGTGCTCGGCAGTCTCGTCGGGTGGAGTGCTCAAAGTGAGGCGGCTTTCTGTAAGGAGAACATTGTGCCTGGTTGGTTGGATGTTGTTTGTCGATTGTGTTTGTTCATGAGCTCCGAGGTAGAATGTTGTGGCTTGCGATTCACTGCCTAGCACTGTACCTTCGCCACCTGTTCCTAGCAAGTTCGACCTTCGCTAACCTTCGCTGAACCCTTTTCAAGCTCAGTAATCTTGAGCCCTTGCCATTCTAGGCCCCGGCTTTAAGCCATAGATATTGCGAGGAAGAGGAGATGATCTTATGGGAAATAGCGAACTTGAGGGACCCTAGTGGGGGTAGGAGCCCAAACCCGTGATGTTTAGAGAGTGTACGATGTTTCTTTCCCAGCCCTCAGACCCTCCAATCAGCTCCGCCGAGTTTTCCCTGATATCCAGTTGGGAGGATGCGCTTGTGCGCGCTGTCATGCTAGCACAACGCACACCTCCATCGCCACGGCCATCCGTGGCCAGCTGCAGCACCCGCCGCTGCTCGCTTGGTTCACAGACCCCCGTAATCAACATTGAAGCCGCAGCCCGTCCGGCAATCACGTCGATAAGCTCTGATCACGAGAGAACGCGAATCGGCCTGCCAGCAGCAAATGCCCTTTAACCGACCGCTTCGCCATCGCAGCCACTGTGCCGGCCAGCCACGTCGTTTCCTCCACGCCGCGGCTGATAAATCTCTACCCTCGTAGCCCCGTGTGTTCGCCCGCCCAGCGCCGTCTGGTGGCGCTGCCATCGCAGCCCTGGCGTGCACCGCCGTGCACTGCCAGCGCGACGCGCGCACACTCCCCCCGCACCTGCCGCTGCTCTAGCGGCGATGGATCCCCCTCAGCCCTCTCTCGCTGACGGCTCCTCGCTTGCCGCCGAGTCGTCCACGCATTCTTCGTCGCACGGCGCACCGTCGCAGGGGTTGCAGGGTGCACCGTCGCCGATGTCGCCCATGTCGGATATGTGGGCGATGTCGCTGCCCGTGCACGTGGTCACGGACGCCACCCAGCTCCCGCCCGAGCTGCTTCACCCACCCGTGCCGCCCGCCCCGCCGCTCGTGATCGGATTTGACTGCGAGGGGATCGACCTGGCGCGGCACGGGCAGCTGTGCGTAATGCAGGTGAGGGCGAGGCACGGGTGATTGCAAGGCACGGGTGAATGCGAGGCACGGGTGAATGCGAGGCACGAACGATTGTGCGACACAGGTGAGACGACATGCTGATGATTATCGGGCGCTTGCCCGTCCTGTTATCGCACTCGAGTCCAGGCTCTCGTATTCACTCAACCCACTTGCGCCCACCGTGCACAGCAGCGCGCGAGTGTGGAAAGCGATGGCAGGAACACGCACATGGGGGGCAGGGCCGCAATCGAGGTAGCAGCCAGCTCGATATCTCAACCTCCCTGTGCTGCGCCCGCAGCAGTCACACGCGTTCCCAGAGAACGGCGCATGCCGCTCCTTGTGTGGGCGTGGAGAGCTCATGTGGCATGGGGGGCCCTCCTTCCTTCGCGCCTCTCGTCTCCATGGGGGCGCTTCACTCCTTGCCCCCAACGCTGCTGCCGCTTCTGCAGTCGCAGCAGCAGAGCAGCCGCGGCGCACGCTAGCGGTCAAGCCAACCCACGCACGCCTTCACAAGCTGCACCCGTCCCACCTACCCCAGTGTCCCTCTTCTCCCCTTCCCCCTTCTTCTCGTCTCTCTCCTCCCTCTCCTCCTCCCGCCCATCCACCCTTTCCCTCCAACCCCCCTAAACCACCTTCCCATACCCCCGCCTTCTTCCTATTCACATTGTTTCTGAAGCGCCTCCCGCCCGTCCCCCTCCCAAACAACCCCTCCATATCCGCATTCCCACAAACGCCCCTTCCCCCTTTTCCTTCTCCCCCCCTTTCGTTCCCCCTCCCCCGCCCCAAGCTGGCGCTGCCCGGCGCCATCTACCTGGTGGACGTGGTGGAGGGGGGCGCGGCGCTGGTGCGCGCATGCACGCCCGCGCTGGAGAGCGCGCACGTCATCAAGGCCATCCATGACTGCAAGCGCGATGGCGAGGTGCGCAGGCGGCGAGCGGGCGAGGGGGGAGAGGCGAGGGCGAGGGGGGAGAGGCGAGGGCGAGGGGGGAGAGGCGAGGGCGAGGGGGGAGAGGCGAGGGCGAGGGGGGAGAGGCGAGGGCGAGGGGGGAGAGGCGAGGGCGAGGGGGGAGAGGCGAGGGCGAGGGGAGAAAGGGGAGAGGGGAAGGGTGAGAGAGGAGAGGGGAAGGGTGAGGGAGGAGAGGGGAAGGGTGAGGGAGGAGAGGGGAAGGGTGAGGGAGGAGAGGGGAAGGGTGAGGGAGGAGAGGGGAAGGGTGAGGGAGGAGAGGGGAAGGGTGAGGGAAGAGAGGGGAAGGGTGAGGGAGGAGAGGGGAAGGGTGAGGGAGGGAGTGGTTGGTATGGTTGGGCATGGAGCAGAGCGTAGGGAAGAGTAGGGAGGGCGAGCACATGGCAATGTGGGGCGGCAGTGGGGGCGAGGGAGGGGCGCACGGGCACGTAGAGGAGCCTTGGGGGGCGTGCGAGGGCACTTGTGGTGGGCAGCAGCAGCGAGCGCACGATGGTCTGTGCAACGCTGTGCGTGCGAGGGATGCGCAGGTGTGTGCGTGGTAGGTAGGGACAGGCACGCATGGGGAGAGACATGGCAGGGAAGGGTTTGTCAAGGAAGGCCGTGGTGGGCAAGGGAGGAGAGAGTGGGGCAAATCAAGCGAATTGGGTTAATGGTCGTGGGGGATGGGAGAGTGTGTAAAACTGGTGCGTGCACCACATGGCACGCAGCACCAGTGTCAGGGTGATGACCCACCCATGACTCGTGCCATGCCCTGTGCGCTCTCTCCCCATGCCTTCCCTTCCAAAGCTGCTCTCCTCTATGACTCGCTGCCGTTCTCCCCCATGCGTGGCGCACAGGCGCTGTTCTTCCAGTTTGGGGTGCGCCTGCAGGGCATCTTCGACACGCAGGTATGCCTGCTGCACTGCTGCCATGCCTGCGCCTTGCTCACCTGCCATCGTGCTGTTTCGGTGTGTTGCTCGCGTGCGACTGAAAGCGGTGCATGGGGGATTGTTGCCATGTTCCACACCACTTGCCTCGTCTCTCACCACCCATTCCACCTTAGTGCTGCCGCTGTCTCTATTCCTCTCACCGCTTCATCTTGTCTCAACCTGCCTTCCTTCAACCCAACCCACGCCCACTCTGCCTCTTCATTGAAATATTTTTTCCTTTTCCCCCCGCCCATCTTTGCACAGCTCTCCTCTCCTCACAAACCCGTTTCCTCTTTCCTTCTACCTTTCCCCCCCCTCCCCCCCCCCCCCCCCCCCCCTTCTCTGTCTCTTTCTCTGCCCTGTTCCCGCTCCCGGCCCCACCTTCCACCCCCCCCATACCCACCTGCTCGTCTTGGCGTCGTGCCGTCCTCCCGGCGCGCTGTCCCCCTGCAGCTGGCGCATGCGATGATAGAGGAGGTGCGGGGCGTGGCGGACGTGCAGTCCGACCAGATCTCCTTCGTCCACCTCGCCAGCATGCCGCAGTACTGCGGTAACCACCCACCTCCACCACACCACACCGCTCCGCACCACACCGCTCTGCACCACACCGCTCTACACCACACCGCCGCTTGCACGCATGGGGGCTTGCTTGCACGCATGGGGGCTTGCTTGCACGCATGGCGGGGGGAAGGAACGGGTATCAGATGGTCTGGGGGAGATGGAAGTGTGAAAGGAGGAACAAATCAAGGCGTATGTGTGTGGAGGCCACTATGCTATGTATCACAGGCCGAGGGATGGTGGGGGCAGCAAAGGCGCGGGCCATGTTGACTGTGTGTGTGCTTGTTGTGTGTGTGGGTGCAGGTGTGGCATATGATGAGAAGGAGGAGGTGCGCCAGCTCATGAGACAGGTCAGCCTTGCATTGTCCCCACTGCTCCACTGCCAGCCTGCAATTGACCCACCTCCATGTTGCTCTCGTCTCTTCCCTGCCTCTCATACCTGCAACCGTCCGCCGTGCGTCGCTTGTGTGTGCCAGCCATGTGCATTGCCTGTCTCTGACTGCGCTGTTGATGCCATGGCTCGCTGGAAGGGCAAATGTGAGCCAGAAGAAACGCCCACCAAAAGCCGACCATGTGCCAATGCACCTTCGCTGCCGCTCCTCCTCCACTCCCTCCCACCCACCCTATGTTGGATTATACGCGTTTAGCGTATATACGCGTGTCGTATATACGCTACCGTATATACGCTAAACGCGGGAGGGGTCTGATCCAGGATACGCATTTCCGGGCAGCTAAAAAACTTTCCCGGGCAGGGCAAAAAAACCTTCTGGGAGTGCAGCAGGGGGGGTTTCTGCTGGGTTGTGTTTCTCCCAAAAAAAAGTTCCCGATAAAAAAACAAAATTCCCCATACAAAGTATATCCCCCATAGTCTACTCTACTCCCCTACTCCCCCTACTCCCCCCCTACTTCCTGGTCTACTCTACCCCCTAACTCCCCCTACTCCCCCCTTACTTGTCTACTCTACCCCCCTACTCCCTCTACTGATACTCGTCCGCCAAGACCTCGTCCTCACCCTCCTCCTCCTCCATCTCCTCCTCGATCTTGTAGCCATCGGGGATTGGCGGCTCCACCTCATTCCCGCGCACAAGTCCAGGCATAACATCATGGCGCGTGTGCCATCCGCGCACAATGTTCCAGTTGTGCGTGACGTAGACCAAATCCGAGCACTTAGCGGATCCGAGACGGTTCCGGCGCGCAGTGTGGACTGATTCCCACTTCGCCCATCCACGCTCACACGGAGATGCCGAGACGGGCTGCGAGAGAATCTTTACGGCGAGCGGCGCCAGCTACGGCGCATCCGTCCCATTCCACTGCCACCACTTAACCATGCTGTAGGTGCCCCCCTTTACCTTCTCCCTCTGTGCAATGGCTTCAGGCATCCCGAAACTCCCTTTGAGGTCAAGGAAAGACCTCAGCTGGTCCCCCAATGCGAGTAAATAGTCGCACTCATCATCCCCCTCCTTCCCTCGATTGGCGAGGAACTCCGCATGCTTCTTGAGGAACGCCTTGAACACTTGTGTGCATTCCGCATCCCCGCCGAAGATGTCCTCCTCTTGGTTGGCGGGGTTGAGGATGCGCCCCGCCACGTGCATGGCGCATGCAAGACTCCCGTCCCACCTGTCTTTCAGGATTTTGCGGATCTGCTGCTTGTCGGTGCTGGACAGCTGCTCCTCATCCGCCTCGACAATGGCCTCCACATCCTCGGTAAGTTGGAGCATAACGTCGTACATTCGCCCCATCATCCCCTTAGCTTCCGCATCCGTCTGCCGCATTGCCGTGTAGGGGAGCTTCAAGAGCTTCACGAAGAACTCTGCGGTCTTCCACCAAGCCGCATCGAGTACCAGCGCGGCAAACCCATCCGCTGCTTTCTGTCGATCCGCATCCCCCGCCGCCCAAGCTTTCCACAGGTCGGAGAGCACCATCTGCGTAAGGGTGGGACTAAGGGCACAAAGACGGGACACCGCGATATACTGGGTGCCGAAGCGAGTCCCCGCTGGCTTCAACGCCTGCATCACGGTCCCCTTCACCAGCTCCGGCGTCCGCAAGTACCCGCGCGTCCAGTGGTGGTTGCGGACGAACGAACTCATTTCCCCAGTCCGCTCCACCACCCTTTTCGCCCACCCAAGCTTCCCCACATCCTCCATGAGGAGATCCAGGACGTGGGTCGCACAAGGGACAATTTCGATGTGGGGCCATTCCGCAAGCATCTGCCGGCAGGCAGACGCGTAGTTGGAGCCCCCGTCCATACAAAAGGCGACGATGTTCTCCGCACCCACCTCCTCCACCACCGGCTTCAGTAACCCCGCAATATAACCCCCCGTCTTCTTCTCCATGTTGCAGTCCACGCACACATGCATCACGGCGCCCGCGTCGTTAACGAGGAAGACATTCGCCTGCGGCCTCCCAGCCCTGTCCGTCATCATGTCGGACGCGACGGTTACTCCAGTCTTCTTCCAGCTTGCTTTGATGCCCACCAACCCGCTCTCGATGCCACGGCGGCATGCTTGCAGACCTGTACCGCCGATGTACTTCCGCCCTGGTGGAACATAACCTTCGCCGGCGCGGGCGACGTCCCTCATTGCGTTGACGAAGAGAGGATGGTCTACGATGTGCTCCGCAATGTGACATCCCGCAAACATCGGCGCCAGCGACTGATGTGCATCGCGCTTTTTCGATGCGGCATCACCGTCGAGATAGTCGGTTATGCGTGACCGCTTCCCTGTCGGGTGCACCGCGGCAATCGCAGCCTCAGTCGATCTGCGCCTTTCCTCTGCATCAGCGGCCTTCTTCTCATACATGGACTTCATCTCGAGGCGTACATCAGCCGGTGCATTCTTGCAAAGTGACACCTCCCGGCGCTTCATGTTCTTCCATGACGTCAGGTGTTGCGCGCAACGGATGGCGGCACCAGAGAAGACAAGGGGGCAGTATTTGCACTCGTACTGCTGTGCCTTGCCCTCTTCCCGCTTAAGGAGCCTGAAGTTTTTAAAACACAGGGTGTTTAACGTCTGGAAGGTATTCCCGTGGCGCAGGCGGAGGAACCCTCGAACTCTCCTCAGTCTGGACGGACGGCGATGTGGGAGGTGGAGTAGAAGACATGGCGCGCTAGCTAGCTAGCGGGAGTTGAAAACTGAATGAGATGGACATTTTGACGAGTAGCTAAATAGCATGCTGGGTGATGGGGATGAGGACACGAGTGGTTGGACTGGATAGATGATGTGTGTTTGAAAGCGGTGAAGCGTGGCGATTGAATTGTGGAGACGTGCTTGCGCGACTCGACATACTTGACCATGCAATTCTGAACGTGCAAATTGTGAAGGTGGTAATCGCGACTCCAGGTCCCGATTCCATTTTCCAGCCACGACAGCCACCTGACGTGCAATCTGAGATAACAGAACTGCTCGTCGTGCAATTCCGCAGCTTTTGAGCTATTCGAAAATTTTTGGGTAGGCGGGCTGCCCCGAAAAAATTTTGGCCTGCGTATAGCGTTTTCGCTAGCGTTTCGCGTATTGCGTGTACACGCTAGCGTAGAAACGCTACACGCAAAAGGTTCAAAGCGTATAATCCAACATAGCACCCACCCTCCCATCCACCTTCCCACCCTCCCTCCCATCCACCCTCCCACCCTCCCTTTCACCCACCCTCCCAACCTTCCTTCCACTCCCCTATCCTCCCTCCCTCCTTCCCTCGCTCCGCCCTCCCTTCCCCCCTCCTTCCTCCGCTTCTTTGCTCCCAACTCCCCCTTCGTTTGCTCCTTACGTTCATCATCACTCCCTCCTACTCTTCTCCAAGCGCCCGTTCCCTCCCCCCGCTCTCCCATGGGGCTCCCCTTCCCCGTGGCCACATGTGGCTGTGCGCGCAACGCCACCAGGACCCGACGTTCTGGAAGCACAGGCCGTGGACGGCAGTGATGCTGCGCGCGGCGGCGGACGACGTGCGGTTGCTGCCCGCCATCCACCGCCGCATGCACGCGCTGCTGCTCCAAGCCCCCAACGGCGCCACCAGGCTGCGCCAGCTCGCCGTGCAGAGCGAGCTGCACGCGCGCTGCTTCTGCCTCGGCGCGCATCACTGGCCCGCTCCCACGCCCTGGCCCCACCCGCATGTGCGTGCGGTTTCGTGGGAGGGGGTAGTGGGTGGGTTGGGGAAGAGGAGAAGGGGGAATGGAGGGGATGGGAAGGGAGTATGTGTGGGGAGGAGAGAGATAGGAGCAAGAGGCTGCTTCTTTGGGTTTTCTCCCATTCTTTGGTGGGGAATGCTTGTAGAGTAACTGTGTCTCATTCTCCTCTCTTTGTTGTGCGTGTTTGTGTGAGCGGAAGGTGGTGGAAACGAGGTGGGGGCATGGCTGTGCGTGTTTGTGTGTGTGTGTTTGGCGCACGTGCATGGTTTGTGCATGGGTGCATGGGTTGCATGGGTGCGTGGGTGCATGGGTTGTTGATTGCAAGGTTGCATGGATGCATGTGCTTGGATCGGATCCATGTGTGTGCTTAACGGGGGGTGGCATTGAGGGGAGCAACAGGTGGCGGAGAACTGTAGCAGCGCGGGCACGAGCAGCGGCGTGGAAGCAGGAGGAGAAGGCGGGCAGGCGGAAGCGGTGGAGGAGATTCTGTCAGTGGTGGATGTGCCGCAGGGGCTCATGGGGCTGGTCATTGGCAGGAAGGGCATGACCATCCGCTCCATCAAGGAGTCTTGCAAGTAACCACTCCTGCTGCTCCTCTCACTCCCTCTTTCCACCCCTCTTCTCTCCCTTCCCTCTTCCATCTACCTCATCATCTCATCCTCTCACGCTCTTCTCCCCTCTTCATCACAGTAGCAACATCTCCGTTTCCCGTCAGTACCATGTCTCCTTGTGTCCCCCCTCACCATCTGTCGCACACTCCCCTTCCGCACACGTGCATAGTGGCACACTCAGTGCTCCACACCTCTCATCGTCTGCGCCGTGCCTCCCATGCACCCCCCACAGAGCGCACATTGTGCTGGGAGGACAGAAGGGCCCTCCAGACAAGGTGGGTGTCTTCCTCCTCCTCTCCACCCCTCCACTTTCTGTTCCTAGTGTCTCCAAGCTGCGCAGTGCACGGGCTCTGAGTCGCAGTCAACCCAGAGTTTCTGAACTCCAACCTCCAGTAGCTCTGTCCTGCCTGACCTGTGGGCTCCTCGGTCGCCCCCCTGGCGCGTGGCGGCGCCCAAGGCGTGTGTGCATGGTGTGTGGGGCGGGCGTGGGTGGCAGGTGTTCATCATCGGGCCGGTGAGGGAGGTGCGCAAGGCAGAGGCCATCATCCGCGGCAAGGTGGCGCGCTGACCACACTCACACACCCGCACGGGAGGGGTTTGTTGCAGTGCGAGGCCATTGGTTAAACAGCACGGCACATGGGGCAGTGCAGAGGGGCGAAGCACATATGGGCCCACGAGTGGTTGCTTTTGGAGCGAGCACGTGTGCATTGTATGTGGGCGTATTATGGGCAAGCTGCACTGCACTGCAGCATCTAGATAGCACGCTCTAGTCTCTAAGTCCGTGAGGTGAGGTGCGTGGCAGGGGGCAGTGCAGGCGGCATTGGAGCAAGCACGTCCAGGCTTGGAAGTCGAGAGTATGCACACATGCACTTGAGTGGTCTTAATTCATGGGTCCCTTTCATCTGCTTGCATGGCTGGGTGTGCGAGGGACCGTCACACGTTGTGTAGGGCTGTGATTACGGATGGCCGAGGGTTGCCATGGAGGTATTTGACTCAGTTGGCAGGAATTTTAGGCTGCAGCACGATGTGGCCTCCACCCTGGCCAGGGCAGTTGATTTAGAATAGAGCTGCCTGCTGTTCATTACCTTCTGTAATGTAGACCACCGCTTTGATAGTACTAGTTCCTTACTACCGACTACACACCTATCCAATCCAACCCCAACCAAGGCGGGACCAGCAAATCAACATCACCCACAAAAACAACGGAGCAGTGGGCTAGCCGGGACTCGTTGTCCAAATGCACAACCTAGCCACCCGTTCTGCCTCATTCCCCCTAGCCCATAGCACGCCCCCCCCTGACACAAAGCAGCAAGCCCTCCCCCAAGGCATCCCACACAAGATGGAATATTGAGCACGTGTCAGTTGGAAGATGGACCATTCCCGCTCACGCCATGCACGGGGCGCACAAAGCCTTTCCCACCCGTTGCCTGTGCGGGCTCCACAGTGGGAGCTGCACCACCTCCGGCACCAGCGGCAGCATCACCACAGGCTCGCCGCAGTCGTTCCATTGCCGCCCGGCGCAGCAGCAGCAGCAGCAGCAGCAGCAGCGCCGGGAGTGGGAGGTGCGTGGCGTGGCGGGCGGGTGGCGGCAGTCAATTTTGCAGGGCCGGCGAGCGTCTACTTGACGGCGGCCGCCATGGTGCTCACGCGCTCCGCCACCCCCTTGGCCGCCCGCGTGATGGCGGCGCCGATGCTCTTGAGCCTGCTGGACATGCGCTCCACGATACTCTGCTCCTTGGCCTTGTGCTCACCCCGCTTGTCCACTGGTTTCTCCGTCGCGCCATCCTCCCGCGTACTCTGGGCTCGCTTCTCCGCGCTGTTCCCCGGCCCCAGCTTGCTCTCCGCCCCTTCCGCCTGCACCACAGGGAGCGCGGTGGCGCTGGTGGCGCGGTGGCGCTGGTGGGGAGTGTTGGGGGTCGGTTGGGACCATGTGGTCCCCACTTCACACCCTTCCAACTTAGTCAAGTTGGGGTGAGGGTGGCGAGAAGTTGGGCGGAGGTGACGGTGCACTCAAGTCAAGAGCTACACTTGGGTGGTAGTAAGAAACAAAAGTGGCGAGGGGTGTTTGCAAGTGGGCGGAATGAATCAAACCAAAGCACAAACACATGGCGTGATTTGATTGGTCCGACCCAATGCTTTTACAACTTGTGTGCTTGACGGAAGAGTGAGATGGAAATGTGTCGGAACTTGGTTTCCGAAATTCCACCGTCAAATGTAAGTTGGGTGGTTACGAAGCGCGCGCGACTTGGTTACAAATGCGCTTCTACTAGTTAGTAATTGTGAGTATTTTCTTGTTGAGTATAAAAACTCACTCGTCAATTAGAATTGCATCCTCTCTGTTTTTATGTACCCAGCCCCATATAATTGACGATTGCGTTCTCGTTTCTTCGCCAATCTTGGCGTTCTTTGGTGCTACGGAATCGTTGCTCAGAGCTCTATCCAGAGATAGCTCACACGAATTTTTTCATCAAGAACTCAGTTCACGACGGCGTTTTAAAGCTGACGGGTTTTCCTGCATGGTTTCAGAGCTTTAGGAATCCTCAACGCTTGACGCCTAGCTTCACTCCTCGCCATGTCGTTCGGTTCCTCATCGACCACTGAGGTCCCTGCTCGTTCTACCCTCAATGAGTCCTACTCCGCATCGACGACGATCGTCGACATGAGTGCGGTGCCATTGTTTAATGGCGAGCACTATGCGTCGTGGCGCTTCAAGTTGAAGGTTCACATGATGGAGCGTGAACTTTGGGGCTTCTTCGACGGGCCCGAAAAGAAGCCACCTGCAAGCGCCTCGGAATCGGAGAAAGGAGCATGGGAAAAGAAAGACAAGAAGGGGTTCTCGTTTCTAGTGTCGAAGCTCGGACTTCAACTCGTGCCGGTGGTGAGCTCGTGCATCGATCTTGAAGGAGCTACACGTGAAGCTTGGAGGCACCTTGAGAACATCCACGTGTCGAAGTCTCTCCACGGCAAGTTGCAAGCGAGGAGAAACTTCTTCACCGTGCGCATCAAGGAGGGCGAGCACATGCGGGCGTACATCAATCGTGTTGAGGAACTTGGCGAACGGATGGTGGAGCTCGAAGCGAATGTGGACGAGAAGGATTGGATCATGACCCTTCTCGGGGGGCTCGGAGAGGAATGGTCAACCGTCATCGCCACCCTTGAAGGCACGCAAGCGACGTGGACCAAGGAGGAGGTGACGACGCGCCTCATCAACGAGGAGATGAGGCGGAACATCTTGCAAGGCGACACAACGAGCTCGGCTCACTTCACTCGTGGCGCGAAGAAGGGCGTTGTCAACTTCAAGCCACGGAATGACCGTGGGCACACGAGTGGAGGTGCGGGCACATCAAACGCGCCACGTGGAGGACACGCCACCAACAACCGTGGTCATGCTCGTGAAGGCGCATGCCGGTATTGCATGAAGGTTGGGCATTGGTGGCGCGAGTGTCGGAGCAAGCCGAAGAATTGGACTCCATCGAATCCAACTCAAGAGGAGCGGCACGCGAACGTGGTGACTTCGGGAGAAGACACCAAGGAGTTCGTGTTCATCGCGGGAGAAGGAGCGCTCGGCGGACCCGCATGGCTTCTCGACACGGGGGCTACGCAACACATGACGCCGAACGCGGACCTCCTTGAAGATGTCTCGGTGGATGCTCCTATCAAGCGTGTGGTCTTCGGGAATTAAGACTCGCTTGAGGTGAATGGACGCGGAACGTTGCGCCTCGCGGTGGACGGCGGTCCAATGACAATCAACAACGTGTTGATTGTACCGGGACTCGGCGCCAACTTGCTTTCCGTGTCACAACTCACCACTAAGGGAGTGCGTGTCAACATCGAAGGCGCGGTCATGACCTTGAGCACGTCTTCCGGGCGCTTCATCGGCAAGGCGCATCAAGACGGCGGACTCTTCAAGCTCGTGGCTACACCGAACCTTGCGTCGGCGAACGCGGCGGTGGCGAAGCCTTCCTTGGAGGTTTGGCACAACCGCTACGGGCACTTGAGTGTGTCAACCATCCGCACCATGGCAACCCAAGGCGTGGTGCACGGGATCGTCGCGGACTTGTCAACGAACGAGGAGGTGGAGAAATGCCCGACGTGTCTTGAAGGGAAGATGGTAAGGAAGCCATTTCCAACTCGCACGAAGCCACTCGCCTCCAACCCGCTCGATCTCGTCCACACCGACTTGTGTGGACCTATCACCCCTACCTCGAAAGGGGGAGCACGCTACATTCTCACCTTCCTCGACGACGCTACACGAATGGTGTGGACCTACCTTCTCAAGGACAAGAGCGCGACTACTACGACAATTAAGAAGTGGGTGGCGCTTGTTGAGACGGAGAAGAACGGACAACTCGTGAAGCGGATTCGGTCGGATGGAGGAGGAGAGTACGTCAACAAGGAGCTCGATGGATGGTTCAAGGCGCGGGGAACCTTCCACGAATTTTCGGTTCCTTACTCACCTCAACAAAATGGAGCGGCGGAGCGCTTGAACCGCACGTTAGTTGAAGCGGTTAGGAGCATGCTTGCCCATGCTCATGCGGACAAGGCGTGGTGGGGTGAGGCGACAATGTTGGCGACTTGGATTCACAATCGAAGCTTGACCAAGCCTTTGCCGAACGTGACTCCCCTTGAGGCTTGGAGCGGCGAGAAACCGGACGTCTCCAACCTTCGCACATTTGGGTGCATTTGCTACTACCACGTTCCCGATGCTACACGCACCAAGCTTGAGGCGAAGGCGCGTGTGGGGATGTTTTTTTTTGTTTCATAGCCTTGATCACAAGGGATGGCGGGTGTGGGATTTGGAGAGCGGAAAGGTGGTGGTGTCGCGTGACGTCTCGTTCTTCGAAAGCCGCTTCCCCACTCCACCAAATGAGAAGCATTCGGTCGTGGTCATCCCCCCAACGGTCGAAGACATGAACGAGGCATCTTCTCAAGATGTTCCCGGGGAGAGAAGTGTTCAAGATGAGGAGGGAGATGTTGTTGAAGTGGTTGGAGAGGAGAGTGAGAAGGATGGTGGTCCTTCTACCGCCGTTGCTCCAACACTTGCATCTACTCGCACTCGATGAGCTCCTCATCTGAACTCGAAGTACGCCGACTACTCAATGGTCGTGGAGGATGATGAGGAAGGGGGAGATGCCATGTGCTTCATGGCCGACTTCACACCTACCACCTACCGTGAGGCGATGGAGACGCTTCAAGCCGCCAATTGGACTCAAGCACTCAATGAGGAGTATGAGTCACTCATTGCAAATGATGTGTATGATCTTGTCCCCTTGCCCCCAAATAGCTACACCGTTGGGTCCCGATGGGTCTTCAAGAAGAAGCTCGGGCCAAACGGTGAGGTGGAGAGATACAAGGCTCGTTTGGTGGCTCAAGGGTACACGCAAAAGGCCGGGATCCACTACAACGAGACCTTTGCTCCGGTAGCAAAGTCTTCTACCCTTCGTGTGCTCTTAGCTTTAGCGGGAGGGCTTGACCTAGAGGTAGAACAACTTGATGTAAAAACCGCATTTTTATATGGCCACCTAGAGGAGGAGGTGTATATGCGGCAACCACGGGGGTTCGAGGATGGCACGGACCGTGTGTGCAAGTTGAAGCGTACCATCTATGGCTTGAAGCAAAGCCCTAGAGCATGGTATATGAGGATGGACAAGTACTTGCTCGAGTTGGGCTTCACTCGGAGCGAGTGTGATCACGCCCTCTACATCCTCAACCGAGAGGAGAAGAAGCTCGTCCTACTTCTCTATGTGGACGACCTTCTCCTTGTCTCCAATTGCAAGGACCTTGTGGCGGAGATCAAGGGGAAGCTTGCATCGGAGTTCTCCATGCGCGACCTTGGTGCCGTCTCATTCTACCTCGGCATGCACATCGACCGCGATCGTGCGCACAAGACCCTTCATCTCCACCAACACAAGTACTTGGAGGACGTGGTGGGGCGCTTTGGGATGAGCGAGAGCAAGCCGGCGCCCACACCCATTGAGGTGGGGTTCCACCCTTTGGCTACAAGCGAAGAAACCCCTATGGATCCCGAGAACACTAAGCGTTTTCATTCCATAGTAGGTTCATGCATGTATGCCGCCGTGAGCACCCGTCCCGATCTCTCATTCACGGTTGGGCTACTTGGGAGAGTAATCTCCAACCCCATGGTAGAGCATGAGCGTGCCTTGCGGCGTCTTCTTCGCTATGTTAGGGGCACTAGTCACCTAGGGCTCCACTATGAAGCCGGACCCGTAGTCCTCGTCGGGTTCACGGATTCCGATTGGGCGGGGGATCCTTCCACTCGGCAAAGCACCTCGGGCTTTGTCTTCACCCTCCTTGGGGGAGCGGTGGCTTGGCAAAGCAAGCGGCAAAACTTAATTGCCCTTAGCTCAACCGAGGCCGAGTATGTGGCACTCAACCGTGGTGGTACCGAAGCCGTGTGGTTAAGGCGCCTCCTAGCCGAGCTAGGACATGCGCAAGAGGGACCCACGCCAATCTACGTCGACAATCAAGCGGCGATCAACCTCGCCAAGAACGCGGTCCTTCACGGAAGAACCAAACACATCCAAATTCGTCACCACTACATCCGCAAGCTCGTCGAAGACAAGGAGGTGGAGCTACGCTATATGAAGACCAATGCTCAATCCGCGGATTTCCTCACCAAACCCTTGCCTAGAGATACCTTCCATGCATGTTGTGCTAGGGTAGGCTTGTATGCATAGGTGCTCGTGGGGACCAAGGGGGAGTGTTGGGGGTCGGTTGGGACCATGTGGTGACGGTGGCGAGAAGTTGGGGTGAGGTGACGGTGCACTCAAGTCAAGAGCTACACTTGGGTGGTAGTAAGAAACAAAAGTGGCGAGGGGTGTTTGCAAGTGGGCGGAATGAATCAAACCAAAGCACAAACACATGGCGTGATTTGATTGGTCCGACCCAATGCTTTTACAACTTGTGTGCTTGACGGAAGAGTGAGACGGAAATGTGTCGGAACTTGGTTTCCGAAATTCCACCGTCAAATGTAAGTTGGGTGGTTATGAAGCGCGCGCGACTTGGTTACAAATGCGCTTCGACTAGTTAGTAATTGTGAGTATTTTCTTGTTGAGTATAAAAACTCACTCGTCAATTAGAATTGCATCCCCTCTGTTTTTATGTACCCAGCCCCATATAATTGACGATTGCGTTCTCGTTTCTTGGCCAATATTGGCGTTCTTTGGTGCTACGGAATCGTTGCTCAGAGCTCTATCCAGAGATAGCTCACACGATTTTTTTCATCAAGAACTCAGTTCACGACGGCGTTTTAAAGCTGAAGGGTTTTCCTGCAGGGAGCAGGCGGAAGGGAGGGCAAGCATAGCGCGAGGGTGAGAGGGGAAGAAAGCGGAAAAAGGAGAAAGGGAGAGAGAGGGAGGAGGCAGTCGGGGTTGGAGCGGAAGAGCAAGAGCGACCTACAGCGAGAACGTCACTCGGCTCCTCCTCGAGCGACCCGCCAGGACGTGCCGCCGTGGCTGGGAGCAGGTTCGCGAGAATGACGCAAGAAAACAGGAGGGCGCGAAGGAGATTCATGGTTGTGCGGTAATGTAAGGAGTTCAATTGCGACGAGCAGGGAAAAAAAAAACAACCATCCACACACACTTGCAATGCCCAGGTTTGGCTCAATTGTGAACAGCGTCGCGAATTGAGTTTTGCTTTCTGCGGACACGATCTGGCGGGAGAGGTAGGAGAGGACTCGGGCAATTATGGGAAGGGAACTGGGGATGGGAGACAAATCGCGCACGAGATCGGTCCCTTTCCGGGGCAAATCGGGACAAAACGCCGGGGCAATTATTTGACCATCCCCGCCGTGAACCGCGGTGACGAATGTCAAGCCGCTCGAACAATTATGGCAAGCTGGAAAGAAAACTACAGCATACAAATTGCATCCGCTTGGTTATAGAGCAACACATGGAATACATACGTACATGAAAGAAAACTACAGGATACAATTCCTTACCATAGACTGGCTATAGCAAGGACCAGGCCTTTATATACCAGCGTAAAAAGGCTAATTTTTCTGTTTTCCAGCATTTTTTTCCTTGTTTTGTAACGCTGCAATTCCAGCCCTTTTCTTTGCTGCGATCAGAAGTTGATCGTAGCCCAGGATCTACTCAGGAAGGTTCGCACGCAGTAGGATAGTGTTGGTGGGCCCTTGACCTCAATAGCAGAGTGAATGTAAAATGCTTGAGATTATTGAAACATGCAAATACAAGAAGTATAAGTATGAGTACAGGGGAATACGAAACGACCTAACTAGCCATGTACTCTAAGGGGTACATTCCCTTATTCAAATGCATCCCCAACCGTGCGGCGCGTACAGTTTCGTAACTGTTCCCGCCAAAACCATCCTGCCTGCAGCTGCCCGATGTCGTCTGCTCCGACGGTCCAGATGCGCTGTAACCGTTCGTCGATTCGATTCAATTCCAACCGTCTGACGCTTCGCGTTCATTCCCGATACTGCGTGCACCCCTTTGCTGCGGTGAGGAGTGTACAGTAATATCAAATATTACTATTCGTAACACCCCCCTTCACTCCTGGCCGTAGCTCGACTTGACCTGCTTGACCACGCCGCTGAGTTCGGAGCAGTGCTGATACTGCTGGCGTGGCAGTCGCTTCGTGAGAAAGTCTGCTGCCATGTCACCGGTCGGGCAGTAGGTCAAGTTGACCTTGCCCTTGTCC